GGGGCGGGTGCAGCACTCGGAGAGGAGCTTGGGGCAGGGGCTGGTGGCATGCATGCTTCCGAGGTTGCTTGGGCCATTTCTACATCAGGTGCCTCGGTCGGGACATGCCCTGTCACGATGATCAAGCCGGCATTAAGTTCAGCTTTGGCTTCTGTGGCAAGGAGTACTGCTGGAGGGCACTGGTTAGAGCTAGCCATTGTGTTATGTTGCATTGCTGCGGCTCTGCTTGCCTTATCCGTCATGAGATTGACGAGTTCGGCTATTTCAAACAATGAAGTCGGCACGCAGTCAGAGTCGATGAGAGCAAAATTCACAGTGGGGAACATTAAACACAGTGCCTCAAGAGCTGCAGCACCAGCCCAGGTATAATGGACCTGATGCAAACCTGTGTCAGCATGAATGGGCAAATGGATCGCAGTAGTTTTCTCCTGGTAAGGGCCAGCCACTGTACATCGGCCTTTGATCCAGGGCGCGAAATGCGGCCAGTAGGCTGGAGGATCAGTGCCTGACAGTTTGCGGTTGTCCACATAAACATACACGGTGGCATACTGAGGTAACCATGAGAGATTATCTGTTATCCACTGGAAGAGCGTTCTATGATGGACCTGGCTGGCTGCGGGGCGTTGGATGCCGTTCCCTTCGTCCACCATGAGTGCAGGGTATGTCAGGGGTGACCGGGGCATTCGACAGGAGCCGACATCGTCCCATTTCCACCTCTGTTTTATATCGTCCATGCCGAGCGGGGTCTCAACTTCTTTTTGCGAGAGGAACAGTTGGTCAAGCTGGTGGCTTAACTGTGTGACCTCTTGGACATTCAAGAAATCGATAGGTGCGGCAATTTCCCACTTCTCCTTTGGGGGAGGCTCAGTCCCTTGTTGGAAATACGGAACGTCATCATCTGTCTCGAGGGCGTCAAAGTATTCTGTATCGCTATGCATTGTCGCATCCTCGACTGTGTTATCTGGGGCGGTTGGCTCTGCTGGTTCGATGTCTGTCTCTGAGTCATCAGGGTCAGGCGACGTCAAGGAAATGAACCTATTTGGTGTCATAAGCTGTTGCAGCATGTTGACGTCAGCTTGACCCTGAACAGCCGGTGCCCGGGTGTCAGGTGCCAAGTGACTAGCCGAAGATAGTGAATGCTATACGGGCAGCGAGTGCAAAAGTATATCAACAGGATTGGCTAGGCTAAGGAAACCCTGAACACCCGGCACCCGGGGTCAGGGTTCCCCCTTGCAGGGCCAATGCGTTGGAGGTGAAACAGGGAGGAAGCAAAACAATCAGGGTTTGTCTTACACCTTAGTGTGCGAATTGATGTCAGATGGCTGACCTAGCTATGAAAAACTAGTGGAGCCACAAAAGCTGCAGTGCGAACAATTGAGCCACTAACAGTTAATGCAAACTACTGACCCAAAGTACATGTTAGTTCGACAGACGTTGAGGTGACCAACGGTGACAGGACCTGGGACACACACCTAGCAAGGAGACTTAGCAGACAGTCCAAACGAATTGAAAAACCCATTAATCCCTTTGCCCCAGTTTATGGGGGTCGTACTTGAGTGGGTACTTTCCCTTACGGCAGGTTTGGGGGGTATCAGCCTGGCACGCAGCTGCTTTTCCCTTGACGCATCTGTGGAGTAGGCGGCATTAGAAATGGCACTGATCAGGTGATTTCACACAGTCAGGTGCACACAGTGCTAGCTGTCTGTACGGTCAGTCAATGATTTCCATTTCCATATTTAAGAAAAAAAATGCTGCTAACCTTGAGGATCCAAAATACACAAAAAACATAAAAAAGTTGAGGTCAAAGTCCAAAATTTGAGCCCAAATAGGAAATAACAAGTCCAATGAAAAGTCCAAAGCCCAAAGCAAAGTCCAATGAAAAGTCCATAGTCCAAGACAAAGTCCAATGAAAAGTCCAAAGCCCAAGGCAAAGTCCAATGAAAAGTCCAAAGGCCAAAGCAAAGCCCAATGAAAAGTCCAAAGCCCAAGGCAAAGTCCAATGAAAAGTCCAAAGACCAAGGCAAAGTCCAGGAGAAAGCCAAGTGAACTTTTCATTGACTTTGCCTTGGCCTTTGGACTTTTCATTGGGCTTTGGGCTTTTCATTGGACTTTGCTTTGGCCTTTGGACTTTTCATTGGACTTTGCTTTGGCCTTTGGACTTTTCAGTGGACTTTGCCTTGGACTTTGCTTCTTGGCTTGGACTTTGCTTTGGACTTTGCCTTGGACTTTGCTTCTTGGCTTGGACTTTGCCTTGGACTTTGCTTCTTGGCTTGGACTTTGCTTTGGACTTTGCCTTGGACTTTGCTTCTTGGCTTGAACTTTGCCTTGGACTTTGCCTTGGACTTTGCCTTGGACTTTGCTTCTTGGCTTGGACTTTGCCTTGGGCTTTGCTTCTTGGCTTGGACTTTGCCTAAGACTTTTCATTGGACTTTGTCTTGAAGTTTGGATTTTGCCTTGGCCTTTGGGCTTTTCATTGGACTTTGCCTTGGCCTTTGGACTTTTCATTGGACTTTGCCTTGGTCTTTGGACTTTTCATTGGGCTTTGCCTTGGGCTTTGAGCTTTTCATTGGACTTTGCTTTGGCCTTTGGACTTTTCCTTGGACTTTGCTTTGGTCTTTGGACTTTTCATTGGATTCTTCCTTGGTCTTTGGGCTTTTCAGTGGACTTTGCCTTGGTCTTTGGACTTTTCATTGGACTTTACTTTGAGCTTGTCAGCTAGCTTTGCATTGGCCTTTTTTCTCTTGGACTTTGCACTGGGCTTTGGTTTGGATTTTTTTCTGGTCATTCAACTTTGCCTTGGTTTTTTTTCTGTGGATTTGAGCCTTGGGCATTTGCCTTCACCTTGGCGGTGTTGTTTTTGGCCTCAAACCTGTTTGGTTCCTGATCTTGGGCCTGCGGTGATTCATCTTCATTCAGCCATCCAGTCCAAGAGTCCAAGACCTGTATGTGGACAGCGCCTGTTTTTGGCCAGGATTCAAGACAGAAGCATATTGACCGCGCGACGTCTGTAAGGGCATGGACGGTATGGATGCAGTCTCACCATGGAAAATATTGAATATTGACTTGAATCACATGGATGCCAAGTTACAACTTGCTCTTGGACACAGCCCTGCTCAGCATCGTCATCGTCTTATCTTAGGGCTTCGAGTCGAGTGATGTTAGTGACTTGTTCGGGCTTCAGCGTCTAGCAAACACAGCCAGTCACTACTAACATATTGGATCTTGCAAATCTTCAAGCTCAAGTGGCAAACCAAAGGCCAGCCAGCTGCAAAGCAGCCCAGCCAATCTGAGCGGCCAGCTTGCCAAACAGCCAAATCTCTGAGCGTGGGACTTTGCCACCTCCTAACTGCACACGTACTAGCGGCCACTGTCAGGCGACTTGATGACTTGGTGACTAGTGACTAGAGATTGACACTAACAGCTGACAGTGACAATGTGCCCGGCCAACGGCCAACATCATTTCACATGACACGATGTTTTTGGGGCTGTGGCGGGTGGGTTAGTTGCGTAGCTTGAAAGCCTAGAGTATATGCCTGCCTATCTATCCAGGGAGCTGCGCAGCGTGCAGCTCGCAGCTAAGACAGACTGACCACGCAGCCGCGCGACCTGCGTGACCCAAGTGTGAAGTGCTAGTGAGTATACTGCTTGGCCTGCTTACTGCTTCACCGACCGGGGTTTGGCATCTGCTGGAGTTGGAAGGGCCCGGGCCCGTCACTCACTTGATAGAGCGGGCCGAGGGGGCCACTATCCAATCACAACACATATATGTGTATACTGAAAACATATATACATTTAGAATACATGTCTGTCTGTCTGTCTGTCTATCTATCTATCGATCTATCTATCCATCTATCTATCGCTCTATCTATCTAGATAATATCATCTATCGCATGATGCATTGCACAAATACATGCGTGTCACATGATACTGATAGGAGATAAAATTTGGTGCAACCTGAACCTCAGCAGGGAACCTAAATCTGAGGCCTGTCTGTCTGTTGCGCCCACCCAACAGCCAGCATCACTTGTTGTTAAGTTAAGTTAAGTTAAGTTAAGTTAAGTTAAGCCTCGGAGCATTGGTTGCTCCCAAGTACAGATGGTTTACTCATGAGTCAAGTCATTGCGCTAGAGTAGAGATTGGTTTGACCGACCAACACATAGACCAGCCAAAATGATCCGCATCATAGGAAAATAATATCTTTCCATGGCTCCATGGAGTGCACCAGAAGCACACCGCGTAATTTTTCCAAGACTCCGGGATGGCTCAAGACGTTTTCAAGGTTTCAAAAGGTTTCTTCTTCGCCGAAAAATTATATGAAGTAAGATGAGTAGATGCATATCCACTAAAATTTGGGCGCCGGAGGCGCCAAAAAATTATATTAAGGAAAATGAGTAGATACATATCCACTAAAACTTGGGCGCCGGAGGCGCCGAAAAATCATATTAAGGATAAACTTATAGAGAAACTGTTGCTTTGTTCTTGTGTACGCTGCATGCGTGCATACGCAGAGGGCTCGCCAGCATCATTGCTGACTGCATAACATTGAAAAAAAAGTAATTGAGAAAATGCTGCCGTATGCCCTTTCCCCATGCCCCATACCAAAAAGCACCAAAATTGGGTTGATCATGGTTACGGTTAGATGGCGTTTCTTAGTGTCCAAATTTCTGCTGCTCTCAGCGCTACAAAAACAGATATACGTAAAATAAAAATAAACGCGCACGCACGTACTATGACGTACCTTTTTATTACGCTCGGCCGCTCGGCGGGTGACGCTGACATCAAGCAAGAGATTCTGTGTGTTTTTTGCTGGGCTCAAGAAGTTGTCATTGATCTAAAAACGATCTAAAAACGATCAAAAAACGATCAAAATCGATCAAAAATCAATAAAAAATCAATGTTTGATTGAACTTTGAAAATTGTTCCAACTTTTGCTCCGACTTTTGCTCCGACTTTTGCTCCGGTTTTTGCTCCAACTTTTGCGCCGACTTTTGCGCCGACTTTTACGCCGACTTTTGCGCCAACTTTTGCGCCGACTTTTGCGCCGACTTTCGCGCCGACTTTTGCGCCCACTTTTGTGCCGACTTTTGCGCCGACTTTTGCTCCGACTTTTGCGCCGACTTTTGCGCCGACTTTTGCGCCGACTTTTGCGCCGACTTTTGCGCCGACTTTTGCGCCGACTCTTGCTCCGACTTTTGCTCCGACTTTTGCTCTGACTTTTGCTCCGACTTTTGCTCGGACTTTTGCTCCGACTTTTGCTCGGACTTTTGCTCCGACTTTTGCGCCGACTTTCGGGTTGATTTCTTTAGCGGGGCTTGCTACGCGGTGGCGCTGGTTTCAGCGCTGGTTTAAGGTTCCTCTAAGTTTTCCAACTCTACGACTCTAAGACTCTAAATTTTCGGTCTAAGACTCTAAGTTTTCCAGCTCTACAACTCTAAGACTCTAAGACTCTAAATTTTCGGTCTAAGACTCTAAGTTTTCCAGCTCTACGACTCTAAGACTCTAAATTTTTGGTCTAAGACTCTAACAGATCTACGACTCCAAGACTCTAAGACTCTAAGTTTTCCAGCTCTACGACTCTAAGACTCTAAATTTTCGGTCTAAGACTCTACGTTTTCCAGCTCTACGATTTTAAGACTCTAAGACTCTAAGACTCTAAATTTTCGGTCTAAGACTCTAAGTTTTCCAGCTCTACGACTCTAAGACTCTAAGACTCTAAAGTACAGGTATAGTACTAATATCCACCCAAAACCCTCCCATCTATAAACCGAGATATCCAGGAGAGCCAGGTAAACCGGGATATATTATCCGTATCCAAAGCGGCATATTTTTACGCATCCTACGCTTTACTAATGGTATGTATTCCAACTCGCACGAGTCACCAATCTTTCAAAAACACCAACAAAACAAAAATCAAATTTTCAAATAAACAATCAGGTGAGATCGGACATGTACGAACTGCCGTTTCGTTTTGCGTTTGTTTCGGAACTGCCGTTTCGTTTTGCGTTTGTTTCAGAGTGATCGCCGCACGCAAATTTTTCATCGCCTGATTTGTTAAACACGGTTGGTGTTCCCAAGACCTTCCATTAGGATGTCTGCTTCACCACATTGTATCCGGGGTGATTATTCCGAGCAGCATCTTTATCCCGGGTCTGGGTGGGTGGGGTACTTTTGACCTCCAACCCATATTGATCCACTAATACTGCCATATAAAGAAAGAAACTCTTTCCATCCTTGAGTATTAGTAACCAGAAGTATTACAAAATTATAAACACCGAAGTTGTGTTCCAACTTGAGGTATCATACCGGAAAGTTCTCTGATAGAAACTTTCAGTTGTTTAAAAATATAAATATCTGTTTGTAAAAAATTCCAACCAGTTTCCAGATTGTTTGAGTTCTGTCATAACTTCCGAGTTACCAAGTAACTAACAAAAGAACCCAAGCAATCCAATACACAAGAACCGGTGTACCAGGATAGATGTTAGGTTCTCATCAGCGGATGAGCGTATAGAGACGCAAGAAAGAGGACGCGCTACGCCGCTTAGATAAAAAGAAGTACAAACCAATACGCTATCGCAACAAGTCGCGAGTGCGTACAGGTATAGTACTAATATCCACCCAAAACCCTCCCATCTATAAACCGAGATATCCAGGAGAGCCAGGTAAACCGGGATATATTATCCGTATCCAAAGCGGCATATTTTTACGCATCCTACGCTTTACTAATGGTATGTATTCCAACTCGCACGAGTCACCAATCTTTCAAAAACACCAACAAAACAAAAATCAAATTTTCAAATAAACAATCAGGTGAGATCGGACATGTACGAACTGCCGTTTCGTTTTGCGTTTGTTTCGGAACTGCCGTTTCGTTTTGCGTTTGTTTCAGAGTGATCGCCGAACGCAAATTTTTCATCGCCTGATTTGTTAAACACGGTTGGTGTTCCCAAGACCTTCCATTAGGATGTCTGCTTCACCACATTGTATCCGGGGTGATTATTCCGAGCAGCATCTTTATCCCTTTGCAAACGAGGGATTACCACGGTTCCATTTTTCTCTTTTTGTTGACACCTTTCGGTTTTGGGTTTGAAATTTTTCGTTTCTTTTCCCTAGCCAACTCTTCGTGAAACTCCTGCGCCTTGTGCATAAGGCTATCCAAGACCAACCACTTTGTGTCGCCACCCACAAACTGTACCCTCTTGTCAGAAGGAAAGGAGTCGAATTTTTGATTGGTCAGGTCGTCTGCCAACTGGTTCAAGTCTCTGGGGACCCACTGCAAATTCAACTCGCAGTCTCTGGGGTCAAGTCTCTGACAATTCCATTATTAAAATGGTAAGAGGATATTTCGTGCTCATCCATTTGCTAACCGCATAGGCATTGGAGAGATTGTCGGTGCTCCCTTTTACCCAGCATTTTCCTTTTCCTCCAACCGGCAATCCCTTTGCCCATAGTCTGACGGCTATGAGGGTTGCCAACATCTCCAGCGCTGCTATGACCCTCTTCGGGTCCTTTCTGAGAAACAACCAAGGTGCCCATGCTTCTTCCACTTCTTCTGAAAACCATTCACCTATCTGTCCATCTGAGGTTTGCAGAAAACCGCCAACCCAAGCTCCCTTCTCCGTTGCCTTTGCATCTGTATAGAAAATTACATTGTCCTCCTTGCCCTCTCTCAAAGGCGGCGGTGATTGCAAGCTTCCCCCTTCCGCTGTTCTGTCTGCCAGAAACCAAAGTATGGTCCTCAACATCGTGGGAATTCTAAGCACTCCAGTTTTGTTCCTAATCGCTGCTGTCCAAGAGTATAAAGGTCCAAGAAAAGGTCTCTCCCAGGTCAAAGCATTGGCCGCAAATCCAAGCCTTCCCAAACCTTGCTCCATCTCCTTGGCCGTAACCCGGCCGGTGGAAGCCAGCTTACGTGTCCAGCCCTCCATCCATGCAGCCCTCTTTGGAGAAAGCCCTAAGCGCATCGTAGTGTAATCGGTGTATAGCCCTATCCATTCCACTTTTAACCCACCACGTTGTTTAGCCCACTTGAAGGGGAAGCCAAGAGTGGATAAAAACAAGAATGAAAGCACTGTTCCGCGTCTGCCACGTATTCCTGCGCCCAAAGATTCCAAGTCGTCCGCAAAGATGAGCATTTCTATCGGCATTCCAGGTCCCAAGAACTCATGCACCAAACGGATACCTGCCCCTGCAATTCGGCCCCACCAATAGCTTGCTGAAGCAACTCCGAAGGTTCCTACCTTGTTGATATAGATGTGCTCGTCTGAGCTTTTGACCCTGCACGCCAGCAAGCCATGTTCCAAGGGATCGTGAAGAAATCTCCGATGAGCTTTGCTAATATCACCAACAAGGCTGAAGACTACATCACCACGTGATCGGTAATAAGATAGCAAGTATCTCTTCTCTCTAGCTCCAGGGCTCCTCTGTTTGTCACGGCATTTTATTCTATTGTTGATCTTCGTCCCGTGGGTGGCGTCGTGTATCACCCTTCTTTTGTTTCCATGAGCCTCTTCCACAAGCACTGCCAGTGAAGAAATGGCGATCCTGTCGCCAAAACGTTGTTTGGCTTGATCCAGTGTAAGCTTCTCCATAAGACCTTCACTGCATTCATCTTCAAACTGTTGTCTCACAAAGTCTTCGTGATCGCCTACCGACTCATAGTTATCCCTCCATACTTCAGATTTCATATATGGATCATCTTCTAGCTTCCAAGATGTCTGCTCCTCATACATGTGAGGGGTTCTCGGCAGGGGCTTTATGACCCCCACCGGGAAGCCTGTCGCTCCCTCAAGCAAGAAACTGTGATCTGGATCCCCTGCTCTGTCCAGCAAAGCTTCCATAAGCTTGAGTCGAAAAGGTTGCCCTGCGGCTATGTCTGTCAAACCTTGTACATCGTATCCCTCTTTCGCAAGGCTGTTGCTCCAAAATTCTACCAGCTGCTGTTTAACCTTTACATTCTTCACCAGTGTGCATCCTTCTTCTCCTTTCGCTGCCATCTCAAAGCACATTCTGTCCAAGTTTTGTATACCCCCGCATTGTTGCAATATGATCTCCATGGATCCCTTCCGCAAGCTTTCCCAGAAACAATCTCTGTTCCATATCCTCTTTTCCAAATCCCATCTGCCTGGTGATGCAAGGCCGCATCCATCATGAAACCAACGTACCTTACCTGGCACCTCGCACTTTCTGGATTCTCCTTCTCCCCCATGAATCTTCCAACCCTCTGCAGTGGTTGTTGGGTACTCTTCTTTCAGATCTTTGGAAAACTCTGTTGCGGCTCCCATACCCGCATCCGTTGTCACTCCATCGCATTTATTGTATCCCCCACCGCAGGCTGTAATGGAGTGGCGTGATGTCCAAAAAGTCAAAATTTTATGTGCCACCCATTTGCAAAACGCGCTCGGCCATTGTTCTGTTCCAGCTGTGGTAAAGCGTCCTGCATGCTGTCCTATAAGCGCCACTGTTGCTGGTCGCTTGATTAGGGGGCCCTTGTAAAAACCTTGACTATCAAAACATGGCTTTCCCACCTTGAAAAGGTCTGCATCCACCTCCACATTCTTCAGCAAGAGGCGCGTCGGTTTCAAATAATTTGTTCCAAAATCTTGCTGATAAAAGGCGCATGTTAGAAAATCACCAGATTCAATCAAGTCCCAGAAAATTGGCCATTGCCACATGCTTGCAGGTCTCACTCCCTCAAACGGGCCTTGTTGTACTGCTCCAAGATCCTCCGGATTCTCAAAAATCAGTATGACGTTCTCTTTCCTTACAGCTTTGCAAACCTCATATGAAAAGTCTGTCATGTTGTTTCCACAGTTGGCCTTTCTCCTTTCTGTCCAAGTAAGTCTCGGCAGCCCTCGTAAATGCACAAACGTACGCACAGGTCTGGGCCCTCTTCTGTTCGAAAAGGTTGCACGTGTGAAAGTAGAGCACGGTGGACTCAGGATGATTGCAGCATAAACTCCAGCCTTTATCTTGTTTAACAAGGACTGTTGGACTGCCCTTTTTGTCACGTCCAAATGCGGTCTAACCCTGATGTCCACCATGTCAACCTGTACCTTCACTTGCCACTTTGCGGCAAGCTTCCTTGTCCAGAAACTGACCGATCCCTTTCGGGTGCATCCTGAAAACAAGTATAATACCTTGCATGTATCTGTATTCTGTGACACTTTCTGCGCCCCTGCATCCAAGAGTCAGGTGCCCGTGGTGTCGGGCGTTGTCTTCTCTTTGCAGTTGAGCGCAGTGTGGCCCTTTTTGAAACACTTGTTACACATGTGAGCAAACTTGCACTTCTGATAATTGCACTTCCCTGCATTGAACCTGTAGCAAATTTTCTCCCCATCCGGTCCTTGTCCAGACCCTTTCTGACCCTTTAGACTTTGTCTTTCCTTTTCCTTTGCCCTTTGGGTTCCAGTTGCCCGCATTCTGATTGTTATTTTGCGGGTAAGCACGTTTCGAATACAAAGCCAAGGGAGTAATAAAATGTCTCTCTTTTGTTGTCGGACACTTCCAGGCCCTCTCCAGTGCCGCACCCAGCATCAAGCGCTCGGTCAACATAAGGCTGTATGCCCTTTTACGCACAGCATGTTCATATGATAGTACCAAACTCCAAGGTGGCGTTTGAATCTGCTGTCCATTCAAATCTGTCGAACTCAAGCCCCACACATAGTCACCCAAGATGTAGTCTTTGTATCGATCAAAAACGTCTTTTGTAACATCTTGGATTTCCTCTCTGCTAACATACTTCAGTGCTAACATCATCAAACAGTTCTGCATGACACTGAGGCGACGACGAAGTTGCTCCGGCCCAGTTGGCATAGCCACTGTGGTGCTGCCCTTTTTCACTGACAAACTTCCTTTGCTATCGAAAACTGGAACAAGGACGTCTGGGTCAATTTCGTCCTTTGAAACCACCTCTGACAAGGTCTCAGCTCTAAACTCACCATTTTCCAGTTCTTGTAATTTCTTTTCCAAGTATTCTTTCGAAGGCATCACCCGATCTTCCACATGTCCAATTGCAGTTTGAAAGAAGTTTCTAAGCTGCACATAGTCCCCAGCTGGAATGGGTTTGGTCCATTCCCTGGAGTTCATCTCTGCCTCCACCTCTGATTGACGTTTTGCCTTTGTGACTGTGTCTTTCCATGAACATATCACTGCAGCTACCTTTGCACGATCTGCTAAGGCATTCGCAGCATCCACATTGAATTCATCTCTCAGCACCGTGATCAAATCTGTTTCATCTCTGAAAAACGAAGAAAACTTGCTGACACTTGTAACACCATTCTCGAAGAAATGTGCTTGCATCTCATCTGGAACTTCGTTTCGGCTCAAAGTAAATCTCAGGTCTGAACTCCCCAGCTTCAAAGATTCTGCCAGTGTACGTGGTCCCACCACAGCTGGGACTGCCATTGCACTCAACGGTTGGCTTCCAGCTAATTAGGTGAGTAAAAGTCAACCATGCAATTCCATAATAATTCCAAAATTTTTATGCTCTTCCAAGAAAACCTCAAAGCACCGAAAGCAATGCTCCAAGTTCCGTCAACCTGAGAAACATCGTGTGACCCATTTGAATTTCAACCTAAACTCGTTCAAAACAGTAATCTAAGAAACATTCCCCGTAAGCCATGCTATTTGAAATAAATGTCAATCCCCACTAGTCATTCTTCACTCAAGTTGCTCCGAGCCCAATCCGGGAATCAGCGGATTCCTTGGCGCTACTACACCATGAATGTTGCCTCCAAAAATTTCTCATTCTATGTCACTTCCCCAAAAGCCAAAACCGGTCAGGATAATTTCTAGTTTTCCGATCCTGACATTCTGTTCAAGTGACATCTCATGCACTCAGTTTGCCGACTGAGTCCAGTCTTTCAATCTGTGAAGCAACATGTGAATGACAAATGCGTTTCCGATATTCAGTCTTCTTTTACTGTTGAACACCGTTCGAGGATTTGAAACCCTGCAAGCAAATCGCTACGTGAAAGCATCCTTCATTTGAGGAATTTTCGACCTATCACTAACTGCTAGAGGAACTTGTCTCTGAATCGCTTGTATCCGAAGAAGTCTCACCTGAGCTCTCATCACCCTCTGTCACCTTTGGCCAGCATACCCTGCAAACATGTGTATAGTGCGTCTCATCTGGCTTATCCTCAAACTCCTGAGAGTCTTTGAAAATCTTCTCTCTAGCCATCCAGCATCCCCCGGCAGCTTTGTGTAGCCTCTTGCAGTTTCTACCAGTTGTCACAACAATGAATCCACTTTGTCTCTGCGTCTTCTGCTCCTCTGCTCCCTCCTAATCCGGTACCTCTTCCAGAGGCTCCAACTGCTCTGCATCATTTTCCTGCCCAAGTTGAATGAGCGGCTCAGCCTGTATCGCAAAGGAGTCCATGGTCTCCATCAAGCGCTGCAATATGTCGCTACGCTCTTGTTCCGCAATCTCTGTTTTCCTATACCTCAACCATGCTTCAGCGCTCTCAGCAATATCTATTTCATCCAGAATCCTGAACCTATTAGGTTTCCTGAAAGCCTTCCCACACTTGCTCTGCAATTGTGCCACCAGTCCATTGTATGATCTGATGTATGTATCACTTGCTTCGGGCTTCCAACGTCCCACCAGATCCCTTTTCTTGTTCTCCACACCCAACACCGCTAACGCTGTTGGCAACGTGGCACGCTCACTATGCTCCGTCCAAAAGGAAGATAAGTCTTCAGGCAGCACTGCATTGAAATCATAATAACTGGTCAGTCTCTTTCTCAAATGACAAGAATAAGAACTGACATCCTGATATGTAGCATATTTCTGTTGAAAACCACTCCAGTCCTCCGTCAACTTCGGGAGTAGATAGTCCCTTTCGAAACTTGCATGCGTCTTCAAAAGACTGAAACCTTGTTGAATCCAATCTACGTCCCAGACAAATGCATACTCTGAGATGCAAACCGGCAGCTCCTGCACACGTTTTCCAGGGCCTGATGTCTTTGTGACCCTCAACGTAGTTGTCATCCTACCACCTGTCATATGCAATTGTGACGGGTTGATCTTCTGCATGTCATCAAAACGCAATGCACCCCAAATCTTCAACAGTTTCGCCCAAGCCATTACACGCATGCCCACTGAAAGCTCCGTATCAATGACTGTTGCCTCCAATGCCTCAATGACAACTGATGGATATCTAGGAGCCCTGCGAACTGGAGGAGCTTCTGCTGCCAGCTTCTCAGTTATGTAATCTCTCACTTGTGTTACCACTCGCATCGTGGCAACCAATTCAGCTTCTTTGAAACCAGCAATCTTCTCAAACCATGCAACAGCTTTGCAAATGAAATTTGGTATACTTGCACCACAAGGTTCATCGAAACGACAAAATAAATACTCACAAAACATACCAGGATGATTCAAAGCATCTGCACTCCAAGTATTGTCTTTCCATGTCTGCCAGTCTCTCCATGCCTTCAAGTACCTCTTCAAGGTGCTTGATCTAGTCTTCCCTGCTATGGCAACATGCAAACGTTCCTGTCCAACGCAAAATTGCATCCCTTGTAAAACTGGTGCATCTACCTTGATAAGCTCTTTATATAGCTCTTTAGACCATCTGTCCTTCAACGAAGTTTCATGCTCCTGTTTCGCCGCAGCCTGATCCCTCTTGATTCTCTGTCTCACACTGACAGGCATCCAAAGTTCATCAACAAGCCTGGTGCCTTTAGCATGACTTGCACTCGAACTGGATTTTGACGACATGAAACTTTTATGCAGATGGCTTCCAATCTCAAGTGGATCTTGTTGGAGGTCTCCACGCAAACGTTTCTGGTAAGGCTCCGACGCTGAAATTGACTGCACCCATCCAGCTACAATATCAACATGCAAACCTTCACAAATAAGTCCTAAATGCTCGCAGATTTGTCCAGCTATCACTCCAGACTCTGAAACATCGAAAACAGCAAGCTTTCTCTCATCTAAACCAAACTTTTGTAGCACATTCCACATGACCTTTTCCAGATCCTCGTCCTCCATCGGGTGCACAAGTGCGCCGGGCTCAGCCGTCCCTATCTCAAGGTACTTTTGACCTCCAACCCATATTGATCCACTAATACTGCCATATAAAGAAAGAAACTCTTTCCATCCTTGAGTATTAGTAACCAGAAGTATTACAAAATTATAAACACCGAAGTTGTGTTCCAACTTGAGGTATCATACCGGAAAGTTCTCTGATAGAAACTTTCAGTTGTTTAAAAATATAAATATCTGTTTGTAAAAAATTCCAACCAGTTTCCAGATTGTTTGAGTTCTGTCATAACTTCCGAGTTACCAAGTAACTAACAAAAGAACCCAAGCAATCCAATACACAAGAACCGGTGTACCAGGATAGATGTTAGGTTCTCATCAGCGGATGAGCGTATAGAGACGCAAGAAAGAGGACGCGCTACGCCGCTTAGATAAAAAGAAGTACAAACCAATACGCTATCGCAACAAGTCGCGAGTGCTTTTCCTTCTAAGACTTTAAATTTTCCAATTCTAAGACTCTAAGACTCTAAATTTTCCGTCTAAAACTCTAAGTTTTCCAACTCTAAGACTCTAAAACTCTAAGACTCCAAATTTTCCATCTAAGACTTTAAATTTTCCGACTCTAAGACTCTAAATTTTCCCTCTAAGACTCTAAATTTTCCAACTCAAAGACTCTAAAACTCTAAGACTCCAAATTTTCCATCTAAGACTTTAAATTTTCCAACTCTAAGACTCTAAATTTTCCCTCTAAGACTCTAAATTTCCAACTCAAAGACTCTAAGACTCTAAATTTTCCGTCTAAGACTTTAAATTGTCCAACTCTAAGGCTCTAAGACTCTAAATTTTCCGTCTAAGGCCCTGAGTTTTCCAACTCTGAGACTCTAAGACTCTAAAACTCTAAGTTTTCCCTCTAAGACTCTAAAACTCTAAGTAGACTCTAAGATTTCTAACTCTAAGACTCTAAGACTCTAAACCTCTAAGACTCTATGACTCTAAATTTTCCTTCTAAGACTTTAAATTTCCAACTCTAAGACTCTAAGTTTTCCGTCTAAAACTCTAAGTTTTCCAACTCTAAGACTCTAAAACTCTAAGACTCCAAATTTTCCATCTAAGACTTCAAGTTTTCGAACTCTAAGACTCTAAGATTCTAAATTTTCCGTCTAAGACTTAAATTTTCCAACTCTAAGACTCTAAGAGTCTAAATTTTCCGTCTAAGACTCTAAGATTTCCAACTCTAAGACTCTAAGGCTCTAAATTTTCCACCTAGTAATTTCCGGTTCAAGTTCATCGTTTTTTGCCCTCCATAGCTGCACTGCAACATAAGCAAAATTTTAAAAAATGTTCAAGCGCTCAAACAAAATGCTCACAGGTTTTGACGTGTATGAATTCACTGTTGCATCCACGTTGCTGTCCGAACCATGCAAAATAATGAAATTCAAACGGTTTCAAATGGTTTCAAAAGGTTATTTCAGAAGGTTTCAATAGGTTTCAAATAGTTTCCAAGCCAAATTCAAATTGTTTCAAACGGTTGTTTCAACATAATAAACTGGTTTCGGTTGTTTTCATGGCATTTCTGCATGTGACATGTGCTCGTTTTTTCGCGAGTCGCGTTGCCTCTGGCTGGGCCCTTGTCCTTCTGAATTCCCATGGTTGTCTTGGGTTTTCAACTGTCCTGTTGATTTCTTCTGGATCTTGTCTTTGTCTTGGGCTTCGGCCTTTTCATTGGATCATTGGACTTTGTTTTGGGCATTGGACTTTGCTTTGGGTTTTGGACTTTTACTTGGTCTTTGCCTTTGGCTCTGGACTTTTCATTGGACTTTGTCTTGGACATTGGACTTTGTCTTGGGTATTGGGCTTTTCATTGGACTTTGTGTTGGGCTTTGGACTTTTCATTGGACTTTGTCTTGAGCTTTGAACTTTTCATTGGACTTTCGTTTGGTCTTTGGACTTTTCATTGGGCTTTGCTTCTTGGCTTGGGCTTTGTCTTGGACTTTGCCTTGGGCCTTTGGGCTTTTCCTTGGACTTTGCCTTGGCCTTTGCTTCTTGGCCTGGACTTTGCCTTGGACTTTGCCTTGCGCTTTGACTTTCATTGGACTTTGCCTTGGACTTGCTTCTTGGCTTGGGCTTTGCCTTGGACTTTGCCTTGGACCCTTGGACTTTGCTTCTTGGCTTGGACTTTGCCTTGGGCTTTTCATTGGGCTTTGTCTTTGGCTTTTGACTTTTCATTGGACTTTGTCTTGCCTTTTGGCTTTTCACTGGACCTTGTCTTGGACTTTGGGCTTTTCATTGGACTTTGTCTTGGGCTTTGGACTTTTCATTGGCCTTTGTCTTGGGCTTTCGACTTTTCATTGGACTTTGCCTTGGCCTTTGGACTTTTCATTGGACTTTGTCTTGGTCTTTGGACTTTTCATTGGGCTTTGCCTTGGGCTTTGAGCTTTTCATTGGACTTTGCTTTGGCCTTTGGACTTTTCATAGGACTTTGGACTTTTCAATGGACTTTGCTTTCGACCTTTGGCTTTGCTTTAGACCTTTGGACTTTTCATTGGACTTTGCCTTGGCCTTTTGGACTTTGTCTTGCGCTTTGGACTATTTATTGGACTTTGTCTTGGACTTTGGACTTTTATTGGACCTTGGACCTGTTTTATTTTTACCAAAGACCCTACTTTTTGCCTATGTTAAGGCTCTCAGGGTTAGCAGAATTTTTTTTCTTAATTCCATATCTGCAACAGGAGAGGGTTGCGGAGTGTCTGGTGAGTGGGCATCTTGCATTCTCTTAAGGCGCTTTCTAATGCGAGTAAGGTGCTCGCGGGCATTGAGGAGTCGCGTTTCAGAGGAGGCCACTCTTTCACAGGCTGTCTTTTCCGTGTTCTGCAACGTTGGGATGTCCGCTGCGGCGAGGTCGACATCCTGCTTGGAGTCACTGGCGGGCTCAGGACTGCTAGCACCAGCGGTGTCAGTTGCCTGAGTCTCTGGCGATGCTTTGGGTGTATCTGCAGGCGACGATTCTTCTGTTGATGTGTCGTCGTGGGCTGCAAGCTGTTCCGTTTGTTGTTGTTGCTCATCATCTTTGCTGTGAGTTGCAGAGTGAGAGTCAGAGGATAACACGCCGGTACCCGGGGTATCCGTTTGCGCTTTGTTCGCAGGCAGGGCCGATGGTGGGCCTGGTCTTCTGTGAAATAATGATTGTGCACTGATTTTGTCAGGTGGCTTGCTTTGCTGTGGGGTTGGAGCTTCTGCCATCACGCCTCTACTGGGATTGGACGATGCGACGGTTGCTGCATTGTCTGTGCTTTGTTGACTTGCGGCCAGCAAATTGGCTGGTTTTTGGGTCTGTTTGGTCGCCGCTGTTCTGCTATCTACCAACGTTTGCTGGTTTGCTTGATGAATAATAGTCTGCAATTCCATGTATTGCCGCTCTCGGTCAGCCACTTGCTGTGGCGTGCTCTGCGTACATGTAGGGTCCTGTGGAGCATCTGCTTGCATTCTTTGTTCTGGCTGTTTTGCTGCGGATCGCTCCATCCACCTGGTCGGTCCCGGCGGAGGCGGGGGCAGTGCCCGTTTCGCATGTTGTGAAGACTTAAGTTGGTCAATGCGTGAGTTCATCTCGCAGTTCCTGCGGGTACGGCTCTCCGGCCTCAGCTAACCACTGGATGGTTTCGTCATGCGTCCACAGGGTGGTTCTCCACAATGGGATGGTATTGTCTTCATTGACCCAGAACAATGGCTTGGGTGGCAGCAACTCATGGGCTTCTACTATCAACGGCAGCAGGAAGGCTAATCTTTTTTGGTCATGGAAAATCATTGCTCCGTTCGGGTGAACTTTCAGGTGAGTATGGTCCCACACAAAAGGTTGCACAACACGCATGGTGTGAGCGTCACGATTGAAAATGGATAGTCGGACTTGGGCATACTGTGGTGCAGCACCGTAGACTTTTCCATCCCAGGGTGGTTCAAGGAAACCCCACCGCTCTTTTCGGCCATAATTAACGGTCTCCCAGAAGGCAGGGTCAAACTCTTTCTCAAGGGCATCGGCAAGAGTCGAAAAAATGATCCATGGCACCTCGTCAATATGCAAGTGGTATTCTACCAACGTGAAATTATATGTTGTCTGGCAATCTCCTACCCACATTGTGCCCCTCACTGCAAGAAAACGAACGCTGCTGGCTGCTGGCATGTCCCAATTCATTCCAGCCAATATGTCCAGTAGGTGTTGATCAGAAACACTGATTTGGCCGGACGGGAAATAGTTTTGCCTCGGCATACCAGCAACAGGTACCCTGCAGTGGCAGCGCTCGCCGAAGTGGAGGCAATTGCACGGCTTCTAGTAAAACCAAACGACAGGAACCACTCGCAATTGCGTGGCAGCGGCCAAGCAACGAAAGGCGGGCAGCGGCCAAACAACGAGGACCCCGTGTCGGCTTGAAGGTATGAACGGGCGAGCAAATTAGAAGTTGGATGAAAATGAGGATCCAGTCAACCCTGGCTTATGCAGGTGCGGTATCCTCACAATTCGAACCAATGGCTGCTGACGGAGACAGTGAATCATGTTCGGTCCTGGTAGAGTGATTAAAATACCAGAAACTGCAACAGTTGGAAATGTATACAACATATGACCGGCGACAGGTGGAGGGACAGTTCAATGTGGTTCAGGAGTAGATTCATGACATAGGAGGGAGTAGCGAGGGGCGGGGCAAGTGGTGGGGTCGTAGCACATGACAGACGGGGGTGGCTATTTGTGTAAGATATGCTAGAAGAGATGGACACTCGGGAGTATCATCAGCATGGAGTACACATTGTTGAGAATATAGATAGCTGTCGGGAGGTTGATAAGAGGGTGTCAAATGAGGGCATGAACCATGTGAGATGAGGACCTGGCAGGGTGAAAACGGAGCCGAGCCCTTACCATTACCCAAGGTGCCCTTGGGAACAGTAGAGGAATAACAGACACATGTGTCATGTTCCTACAGATGTGGGGGGCACAGTAGGGGGTGAGGGCATGCGGGACGACT